GGTTGCTTCTTAAGTAACCGGCCCCGCACTCCAGAAGCGCCCCGCACCGTGCACAGAACCTCCCTGCGCCCTCCTATCCCGGGTGCGAGATGCGCTGGGAGAGAGAAACGAAAGCACCGCTGGACGGGTCGCGGAGCAGACCCCTCCCCACATTGGCTGGTGCAGGCAAGCAGCAGATCACAGCACCTACTGAGTCCGGAGTCACCGGACGCCTCCGAGGACCCCACCCCCTTGAGCCGCCCCGGCCCCACCCGTCCGCTCCTGCCCCGGGATCCTCAGCTGCCGTGCTGCTGTAATTGGCGGTGCAGGCGGGTCTGGAGGGGGACCGCGAGCCCGCAGGCGGCGCAGGGGCAGACACGGGGTTTAATTGCAGGGCTGCGGGCCGCAGATCGGGCTGCGGCGCTGCTGGGGGCTGGGGGAGGGATGGGCCCTTAGCTGGGGGCTAGGCCTCGGGGGAGCTCTATGACCTTGAAGTCGGTAGCCTAGAGTCCCTTCCCGGGAGACTGGGGGTGGAGGGCTTGAACTCCAGCGAGAGTGGGGGAAGTGGGGACGCAGAGCGGAGCCGGATACCTCCGGAGACCTGGGAGGGGCTGGGGGGTGCGCGCAGATTCCAAGCTCCCCACTTCTCTAAGCTCTGGTTGCTCTCGCCCAAGACTCCGCCTCCGTTCTGACCCGCTCCCCACCTCTGCTTCCCCCTTTTGCCGCCCCCGCCCCCCTTCTCGTATCCTCAGGGCGCTCCCACCCTGGGGAAGAATGTGGCCTCCTAGCGCACCCTTGCCGTGGCAAAGGCACACCCCCACCCCCGCGCACCGCACGGCCCGGCCGGGCGCTCCAGGCGGCGCAGAAACGGGGGACTGGGGCGCCTCCCAGCCCTGCGGACACACCTCGGCTGCTTGAGTTGCCACAGAAACCGGGGGCGTTGAGAAGTGCGCAGTCGCAAAGCGGGGTCCGGTTCTCGTCTCGCTGCCCTACCCCCAGACCCAATAACTGAAGACCCCGGCTCCTAGGACAGCTGCCTTCAGCTCCCAGGGCAAGGTCCACTGAGGGGTCCTGGGCGTCGGAGCTTCAGCCCTCCGGGAGCCTGGGGAGCGCAGGCATCGAAGGACCCACCCCGATCTGGACCCAGAAAAGGAGATCCCCCTGTTGCCAGCCCATCCACCCTCCCCTGGCAAAGCCCAGGGGGGCGCTGGCAGCAGGAAGCCGGGGAAGGGCCCCGGAGGCGCACAGGCCCCACAGTAGAGCGTGATTACAGGGACCTGTCCCTCCCGCCCCCGGCTCCCACTCTCATTAAGTCATTTTTTCCCATGTTGGAAAGTCCCTGTGCCTTGAACACAGGGGCTGCAGCGACCGCAGGCAGCTGCCGGCAACCACATGAGAAGGGGGGAGGAGAAGGGGGGCTGCTAGCAGGGCCTGGCCACGATCCAACGTGGAAGGCCCCCTGCCCCAGGCTAGCTGGGACACATTGAATGGGGAAGAGGCAGGCAGACTGATGGCCCTGACCCTGTTTCTCACCTACTTAGCCCTTCAGGCTCTTTTATTCTTTTATTATTACCCTGCACCGTGAGCAACTGAGATGTAGGGTGCCCCCTTCTGACCCCCAGTCTGGCTGCCTCTCCTTGCCCCAGAACTATCGACCACCCTCCTGACTGCTCCCCTCCTCCCTCTGACCTCGCTGCTCCTGCACCCAATGTCCCTCAGGTGACAGGAGGTGTAAGAAGGGCCTCTCCTCTTTTGGACCATCCCTGGCCACCTTCGGTCCGTTTCTGGTACAGTGCCTCAGCACCCTGGGACTCTCCCAGCTTTTGGTGAGTCCTTCCCCTGGTCCCTTCCAAGATCCCAGGTGACGCTTGGTTTCCTGTCTCGCCCTCTGGCCAGCAGGCTCAAGCCCAGGGCCTCTTGGGCCTCATGGGCCTGGCCCTCATCACCGCTCCATCTCCCATCCCGGCCATCTTTCAATGGTGGGGGTGCAGCTTTGGCAACAGGACACCAGCCAGCTTCTACTCCAAAGAGAGTGGGGGAGGGGAGCCTTCCTTCCCCTCTGTAACAGGTCAGAACAAACACCGGAGGGAGCTGCCATCCCTCCAGTCTATTCCGGAGAACTGCCCATCGGCTTTCCAGGAGCAGTAGTCTCAGAAGCCACTTCTCTCTTCCAGCGAGGGGTTCAGCAGAGAGCTTAACTCCTGCACCGCCAGGGTCCCCCCACACACACCCTCACACACACACACACCCCCACACACACACACTACACATCAGGGCAGTGTGTCAGATCATCTGATCGGACTCATTAGTCCTTTCTTTCAAAGCCTGGGGTCCAGTCCCTGGCCATCCTTCCCTCCAAAGGTAGCCTGCACTTTGGGGGAGGAGGGGACACAGCAGACACACTGCTGTGTCCCAGACTGCCCCTCACACCGCATGGGCCCAGCCAGGCCCTCCCTGTCTGCAGCTCATCTTCATCCTCCCCTCTGCCAGCTTTGTCCTTCCTCGCCTGGAGGCAGGGGCAGGGCAGCCCAGGTCAATGCTGTAGGGACACCCTCCTACTGGGAGGTAAGGGTGGCCTGCCTTCCAGGCCTCCATTCCCGCTGCTTTCTCCTCCTTCCAGGGCACCCAGCCCCCACAACTCTCTCCTGGGTGAACAAGAGGAAAGGAATGAGGCAGGTGTGTCTGACTGCTCCCGCTCACCCCTCCTCCCGAGGGACTCGCCACACCAGCACGCCTGCCTGCCCACAGGGCTGGCTACCTGTGGGGAGTCGGGGAGAAGCCCTGTCCTCCACGCAGGCAGCGGAATGGCTGTTTGAGGACCCTGCTGCCTGAGGCAAGACCCTGTCTGGGAGCTCCTGGAATGCAGACAACTAGAGGGAGGGGCTGAGGGCAAGTTCCTGGAGCCAGCCTCCACACTGGTGCCCCCACAGAGCACGTCACCCTGAGAGGGTCCTTCTTTGCCTACCCAGCCCCACCCAGGAGCAGGGAACCATGGGACACTCAGAGGACAGGGTGGGGGGCGCGGGAATTGGTGCCGGCCAGCAATTAAGAAAAAGGACTCGCCTCTACCTGCCTCATCAAAGAAGTGGGAAACGGAGGCAGGCAGCAGACTCCCTTGAGGGGCCTAGAGTCCTGCCAGGGGCCACTCAGAACTGGGGGTGGGGGCTCTCCCACCCCCACCCCAGCATGCTTCCATCCCCTCTCCCAGGCCTGGACTCCCAGAGACCAGACCTAGACAGTGAGTCTACAGGCTCTCCCAGGCCCCCCTCCTCCCTGCCACACCTCCTGGCCCCACCTGCTCCCTGGGGCACTGGGCTGGGTTGAGCTGGGTCTTGCCCAGGATTACTCCTCTCCCCGGTGCCTCCTGTCTCCGCTGACTGGATGCTGGGCACCGCCACGCGTCCTGGCTTGTGGCAGAGGGCTCAGGCTCAGGTGGGCGGCTAGTGCTCTGGCACGGAGAGGTTCCAAACACAGCCACTTTGAGACATCCCCACCGCCTCCAACCTAGTCCAGGCCTCCTCTCGGGCTGTGATCTCCTAACTGGTCTCCCTGTTGTCAGCTTGGCCCCCTTCATCCAGTTCCCCAAAGGGCTGCCAGAGAAGGCTTCTCCTTGTGGAAGTCACAATGTGACAATCTTGGATTAAAGAGCCTCTGAAGGCCCCCAACTCCTGGAAGAGACGCGGTGATGCAGCCCTCACTCACTCCCTGGGCCCCCTCTCCTCATCTGACCCCTTCATCCATAACATTGAACTCTTTGCCATTTGTCCAACTGGTAGAAAATGCTCCCCTCAGAAGCAATGGCCTAGCTTTTACTTGGAAATTCCTCATCCAGTAGCTGTCTGGTCCTCCTCCTTGGGCAGGCTTCGGGCTCCAGTATCACTCAAGAGGCCTTCCCTGGCCAATGGCCTTGTCTACAGAGCCCCAAAGGCCAGCTTCACCCAGCACGTGCTTTATTTTCTAGAGGGACACAGCATAGTCTTATCTTCTTTGTATGGTTCTCTTGTTTATTTCTCTCACCTAGCCAGACCGGAGGTTCCAAGAGGGCAGGTGCCGTGTGTGTGTGTGTGTGTGTGTGTGTGTGTGTGTGTGTGTGTCACATCTGTATCCCCAGAGTCCCTTACTCCCCCTCCTCCACACACCCCCACGCAACCCACGCCCCCAGAGCGCCAGACCACAAAACCAAAGAGTGCAAAATAAATATTTGTTAACTGAATGATGAGGGGCGGAGGCAGTTGGGGGAGGGGGTCTAGGGCCTTTCCCCCATCTCTTATCTGCTCAGTCCAATCTTCTCTTTTCCCACTCTCTGGCTGAGGCAGGTGTAGGGGTGGTGGGTAGAAAGAGACAGCGCCTGGGGCAGCTGCCGGGACTCAGGCCCTGGGGGGTGCGGTCACCCCCAGCTCAATGGATCCAGACCAGCGTGTGTGTGAGCTCACAGGCTGGAGCCCGGGCTCCACGCGGGCCTGGACTGCTCCGTGCTAACGGACTCGGTGAGCTTCAGAAGTGGGGGGGTCCCTGGAGGCGGGGAGCGGGCTCTCACTTGCAGACGCTGACCCACTCGGTGATGCGGCACTCCTCGCAGACCACGAAGCAGCACCAGTGGAAGCGGCAGTGGCAGCGCTCGCTGCGCGTCTGGCGAAGGATGTTGTGGCCGCGGCCGCAGCACATGCTGCCGCAGCCGTCGGGGCCCGAGCTGCTCTTGTTGCACAGGCGGCCCACGGTGCCCGCCGAGTCCAGGCGCGGGTCGCGCTCGCAGAAGTCGGGGGACTTCTCGAAGTAGACCAGGTCAGCGGAGTTGGGACGGCGGCGTGGGCCCGGGGCGCCCGGAGCGGGTGAGGGGACCCCCGCGGGGCCGGGCTCAAGCTGGCCACCGTTGCGGTTGTGCGGACGAATGAGCGTGGCGCGGTGAAAGCGGCTGCGCAGCAGCGACCCCACGGCACGGAACTCGGGCGTCACCTGCCAGCAAGTCTTGAGCTGGCAGCTGCCGGAGGTGCCGTGGCACTTGCACTTCCGCCTCATGTTCTCCATCACCGCCTGCAACGGGGCCATGGTGAGGCTGGGCAGTGGCCGCGTGCCCCACTGCCTCATCCCTACGCAGAGCTGGCCTGCAGGAACCCTCTAGGTCTGCGACAGCAACTCCCAAAGCAAGAGAGAGGGACCACGGAAGCAGGCTTCCACGCACAATCCTGAACCAGGTATCCACAGGCCTTCTCATAGGGCTCCCACCCACCTCCCACCAGGCCTGGCTGGGGGAATTCCCTCCTTCCTACCCCCACTCCTTTCCTGCTACCCCCCCCCTTTCCCAGCAGCTGCAGGGCCCCCCTGGGGCTGGAGACTCTCCCCTGCCACCCAAGTCCTCTCTTACTTCCTGAGGGGGGATCCCAGATCCTCAGGGAAAGTCCCGCTTCTTGGATCCCTGGGGGGAGAGGGTGGGCAGGAGGAGGGGTGCCTGCCCCAATACATCCCATCCCCAAAGCCTCTGGCCTAGCTCCAGGCTGTGAGGGGAGGCCCTGGCAACTTGAGTCAGCCCCCATCTTGGGGTTCTGCCGCCCTTTGTAGGAAGTCTAAGGAGGGCATGCCCAGAGCCTACCATTGTGCTCTCAGGGACTTATTCTGATCTCTGCTGAATGCCAACATCCCTCCTAGGAAAAAGTGAGGACTGTGTTGGATCCAAGAGAGTGGTACCCAGAGAATGGGGCCTCCACCCGATGGGCAGAGAGAGGGTCCAACTCCCAGGGGAGGCAATGATGGGATCACAATCTGTCCCCTGAACGACTGCCCAAAGTCTCTTCCCAAAGAGTCCCTTGGCATTATCCTCACCAGAGAGCCCCTGTAGGAAGTTGACCTCCACCACCACCACTTCTCCAAAAGAAGGTCTCCAAAAGCAGACCTTCCGAAAGGGAGCATAATGATCTGGGCCCCTCAAATTTGGGCATCAGGGCTCTGCGGGGAGGGACCTCGCCCTCCAAGCCTGTGGACTCCTGCAAGCTCAGCTGTGCAGCCCGCAGTGTGGTGTCAGCAGCACGTGGGAAGCAGCCCCTACCTCCCCTGGCCAACAGCTCAGAACATCTGCTTCCCACAGGCAGCAGCCATTAATTAACCAGTTTAACGAGGAGGAGGAGGAGGTGGTGGTGGCACCACTGATGGTATAGGCTGGGATTGTCTTGAAGCTTGGGAGGAGGAGAAGCTGCATGAACTGGGCAGGGCTGGATGGGAGCTAACAGTGACCTGGAGTGGGTGTGCTTCAATTTCCCTGGTCTCTAAGTAGGGTGGAACAGTTGAAGGAGCAGCTCAGAGCCCGGCAGAGGCAGAAAGTGGGACACCTGGGTTGGGGTGGAGGGGTGGCAAGGGAAGGGGGGATGGAGTGGAGAAGAAGGAGCCAGAGTGGGTGGGGGAGGTAGAGCCTCCACAGAGTGGTGGGAGGCCTGAGAGGGCTGGGCAAGGCTGAGAGGATGAGAGGAGGGGCTGACTCCCAGGAGGGGCAGCAGGGCACCAGGGTGGATGCTGCTTGCTTTGGTCTGTGTGTACCTGGTGCAGATTCTGCTCTGAGAAGCAAAGAAGCACAGGCTTAAAGCCTGGGATAAACCCTTCTCCTACCACTTTCTTAGTAGCTGTGTTACCTTGGGCAAGTGTCCTGATCTCTCTGTGCCTTATGGGTTGAAGGTAAGGATTAAGCGGGCTGATAGGTAGCAAAGTGCTCAGGACAACGGTTGGCGTAAACAGTCAATAAATGCAGGCCGTTATACAGTGTATGTATAACATACAGCATGAGTAGTGTATGTTCCCAGGTGCTGGCAGAGGCCACAGAGAAAGGCATTCAGAGCTCAGTATCACTGGGGATCCCACACACAGTAGGAAGTCCTCCTCCTGAGACTCTACAGAAAGGCTGGGAGCAGAAGTAGGTGGCAGCAGGATGGATGAACAGGCCTCATGGCGATCGATTGATCAATCGAGCTATACCTTCTCACTTACTTTGTAGAAGACTAAGGCGGGCTCTGAGTGTCAGAAGGCCTTAGGCCCCTGGGTGCCAGACTGCCAGGCCAGCCCCCTTTCCATTTATCACAGGAGCAGGGCCAGGCAGGAGCTCTTTGCTCAGCCATGGTATAATGGAAGGATGAAGGGGAGGGGGGCTAACAAGGTGATTTCCTTTCTGTCTCCCCCGAGCACGAGGGAGGTATTCACTGCACGTTGACAGGGATTGCTGGGGAGCCAACAGAACAGTGAGGACAGAGTGAAGCTGCGGGGGAGCAGAGGCATCCTGGGGGAGAGGCGGGTCCTAGGCCTAGGGATCTAGGGGGAGCCCAGGGGGCAGAGCTCACCTGCCTCCCGACTCGGTTGTTGTGGAGCCTCATGCGGGCGTGGATGTCTCGGTGAGGCTCCCGGGAGTCCAGGAAGTCCTTGGAGAAGCGCTCCCCAAAGCCCACGTCGGGGCTGCAGCCGCCCCATTCCCAGGAGTCCTGCAGGCCGGGACTGGCCGGCGGCAGGGCCGGGTGCTCCGGGACCCCGTGGCTCAGGCCTTTCCCGCGCTGAAGTGCATCCAGCTGCAGGCGGTGCAGCTTCCTGCGGAAGGCCTCTTCGTCCCCGCGTCGCGCTGCGTCGCAACCGCAGGCCCGCAGCTTACCCAGGGCGCACGCATTGGACACGGCGTGGACCACACCTGCTGCCGCGATGGCGTAGGCGAAGGCGCTCTCTCGGAAACCTGCGGGTGAAAGCCCAAGAAACGTGGGTGCTAGGGGTGGGTGGGGGTGGGGCGACCTCGACGTCCCACGTCCCTGCTCGACCTTCTCCCGCAGCGCCATGGAGGGTTGGGGTGTATGAGGGCACCAGCCTAGGGACAGCAGCGATCACACTAGACGCCAGGTGTTCTGCACACATGATGTCTGAGGCTCCCCTTAGGGTCCCCTTCAGTTTTCCTTAAGGAGCCCTGGGAGCTAGTGGTGAAGCCCCAGGAAGATGGGGTCCTCTGTGGCCGTAAAGAGGGCCTCTTCAGGAACCTTGGGGGGCAGTTCCACTCGCTTCTACCCATCACCTGGTGGAGAATCAGATTGTTCACCGCTCCCCTTTCTCAGCACAAGAATGCCTGGGTGCACACTGCACTTCTAGGGCAGAAACTATCCAGTAAACACATTCTTGTTAAGGTCAACAGGGAATCTAGTCCCTCTCTTGATGCTATTTGCAATTGCAAAGGAGGTCCTGGAGATCCCTTCCTCCCTCTCTCCTGGCCCCCCTCCTAACTCTCCTGCGGCAAAACTCCTAACCTTAGCAGGCGCACTAAGCTTTGTCTTCCAGCTCCTCTGCCTTGGGAACCCAGGCCAAGACAACCACCAAGACACTCGCATTGAAGGAGCTTATAAACTCAAAGGGCACAAAGCCATCCAGTCAATACCGACTCATAGCGACCCTACAGTTCCGACTAGAACTGCCCTCGTGGGTTTCTGAGACTGTAGCTCTTCACGGGAGTGGAAAAGCTCAACTTTCTCCCAAGGAGCAGCTGCTGGCTTTGAACTGCTAACCTTGTAATTAGGCCCAAAGATTGCCCACTATGGACCTTATAAAGGATGGAAGGCAGGGTGGGAAAATGATCCCAAAAGAAAGTCTGAGATTTTAAAAGAAATGGTACACAAAAAAGAGGGAAATGGTGAATACATACATATATCAAATAAAACAAACACTGCCTGTATAAAATAAATCGTAATTTCTAATTTTGTGGAGTTTAAAGAAAGACAGCTATAAGTCAGGAGAGTTGCTATTTGTAGTTTAAAAGTTCTGTGGTTATTTTCACGTTCTAGAGATCAAATGAGATATTGCTCAAACTTATGCAAGAGGGCCTCAAAAGTTCATGGAAAAATTCCATTATCTTTCTCTTCCAATTTTCCATGAACTTTCTGAAGCCACACACACACACACACTTTGTTACACTAAATATGCCTGGCAAAATTTCAAGAATAACCATCGAAGAATAGCAAGTGGATTATACAAAATCCAAACAGGTAGATCAGGAGAATGGAATGAGAACCCACACAAACGTCTTTAGTCTAAAATGTGCAATGAACATGTTTGAAAAGTAAGACTAACCGAAATACAAAAGAATACACTCAATAAATGGATAAATAAAATATCATGTATCCATCCCTGCAATGGATTATAGAAAAGAATGCTACCACATGGATGGACCCCCAAACCATTATGCTAAGAAGTCAGACACAAAAGAACATATAGCTATATGACTTTGCTTTTATGAAATGTTTAGAAGAGGTGAACCCATAGGAACAGCAGATCTGTGGTTGTCAGGGACCGCGAGAGGGAGGAATGGAGAGTGGGTGCTCAGTGGGTCGGGGGTTTTTTGGGGGGTGATGAGAAAGATCTGGAATGAGACAGTGGTAAAAAGTGCACAATATTGTGAGCATATGCAGTGCCAGTGGTCTGTAACCTTTAAAATGGCGACAATGGTCAATTGCATGCGCAGTGTGTGTGATCTGAATTTTTTTTTCAAAATTAAAAATAATATGTAAGTGCAAAACAGTATCCTTGTCTAGATGCAGAGCGTTAATGAGAAACTTAGTAAAATCAAATCAAGTCTGTGGTTTCGTCACGGTGAAAAAGAAGCAGCAGCCTGCAGACAAAACAAAACTCCGAATGTAACCCAGAGAATCGACCACAGTACGGTCCGAGTGTCCATTCCAACTCGAAGAAGCCCCTACAGGGCAGAGTAGAGCAGCCGAGAGAACCACTGTGAAGTTGTCCTGGAAGCAGACAACCTCACCTTTCTCTGCAGCATAGTTAGGGGGGTTGAAAGGTCAACCTGGTAGCAAGCTGTCTGGTGCTTAACCCACTGTGCCACCAGTACCAGGCCTCAGGAAATGTGCACACACAAGAGGGTAGTAAGGGAAGATGGTTTTTTCAGAAAAGCTTCCTGTCCCAAGTCCAGCTGGCTGCTAAAGTGTGCAGCCACCTTAGGCCACCACAGAGGCTGTCCTGATGACAAAGCCAAGTTCCCCATCCACAGGACATCTCTGGAAGTTAGTTCAGAGAAGGGTGCCAGGGAGACCCCATACTTCAGTTGGTCTAGGCCCCATGAAGAGGTCGTTTGAGGAATGTTGTTGCATGTGACCTCAGTGCTCTACACACAGAAGCAGTGAAAATTGAGAGGGCTGGGCCTGAGGGGCTCAGAGGCACAAAGATTAACCCTGACCAACCCTTCTTGGTAGCTGACTTGTCCACACAAGCCTCCTTCTTCGAGGCTTCTTGGTGCTGCCAGCCTGAGTCATCGGCTACAAGGGTTCTGGTGGGCCTGGTCCATGGCAGGTGGAGGCCTACTAGTAGCTTCCAGCCCCGCTGCACCTTATTCTAGACTTAAGAAAAGCCCAACCATGAGCAGGCCTGCCTCCATCCCTGAATAGTCTCTAGCCCCTGAGAGGATGCTGACAGTGGGAGATCCAGGTGCAAGGACACGAAGAGGAGAATCCATCTAGGCCATAGGCTCCTGGGGGCAAGTCCAGGGCCAAGCAGGAGGTTGGTGGCCTTGGGAGAGGCCCTAGAGTTAGAGGAAGTAGAATCACTTGATCCTTGAAGACTGGGAGGACATGCTCTCAGGGACCCCCACAAACCCCAGAGAGTCAACCAGGATGGGACAAAGACTCTGGTCCCATCTACCTCACTGGTCCTCACCCACTACACCCCAGGGCCCTTGTTCTCTTCTCCCATCCTCCCCCAACCTCCTCACTCCCCTCACCCTCCAAAAAAGAGACAAGATTCTCAGTAGTTAACAGTACAGTCTCCAGAGTCAGATTGCCTGGGTTCAAATAGGTGACCTTGACCAAGTGACTTAACTTATCTGTGCCTCAGTTTCCTCATCTGAACAAATAAGTTTATAACTATCTACCTCATTGTATTGTTCCAAAACTGCAACCAGTTAGTGACCTTAATGTGGTTAGGGTGGTACCTGATGCATAATAAATACCATACAAACATGAGCTATTACTGAGAAGTTCTTGTTGTTGTCTGGCCTCGCTCACTCTTGCTATAGTTCCCTACCCCTGTTTCTTGTTTCACCCTGAGCAGCAGCTCATGGCCCACTCTAGAAGAAGTTGCTTGGGGCACTGGAAACCCGTGAAGCCAATTCACTCTCTCTAGTCCCCTTCTGGCTTCTTGGTAGCCATTCCAGCTTGGGCACATGGGGAGCTGGGGGTGGAGCTGAATCTTCAAAGGGGCTGCTGGGAGCTGCAGAGGTAGAGAAACTGCTCTGGGAAGATGGTGGGGTCCAAGAGGAAGGAGGGGCAGACCCCAGTCCCTGGGCAGGGGTACACCTTGTGTATATCCCTTGTCCTTTATCTGTAGAACTCTAAGCACTGCCCTTACTCTGGGGCCATGGTCAGGGCTCTGAGGATAAGCATTAACATGCAGACCAGAAATCCCCTTAACATGCATGTGCACATGAATGCACACACACGCACATTGTACAAAGGGAGACAGCTAAAGGTCACAAGGGTCATAGGCTGGACCCCGTCCTCTCTCTCCCAGTTCCCAGGCTGGCCCAGCAACTTCCTACTGCTGAGCGGGGGGGAAAAAAAAAAACCAACACTCCAGGAAACCCAATCTTTAGCCCTAAGAACCTGTGCACAGACAGTGGCAAGAAAGAGCCAGCGGCCTGGTCTAAGAGGTGTGCAGGGCCAGGCCCATGTTCCAGACCTAGATGGATCTGGAGAAATAGAATCTGCAAACCTGCAGCCTGCAGAGAACACTCAGATCCTAGGCACCACTGACAGCCTCTGACAGCTGTCACAACCCTGTGTCCAATGACCAGACAGGGCCTGTGTTGGTCATCCTCTGTTCCAAGCCAGCTCAAAGCCCAGTCTACTGGATCTGCCCCCAGCTCCCGTTCGGGGGCCCCACTTTCGTCCCTGGCCCCCCTGTCTGGGGCAGATGCAGACACAGTGCCATCTGGCCAGCTGGAGGGGGAAAGGGGTGGAGCCAAGGCCAGCTGGGCTGCTCTGAGCAAGAGCTGGTGGGGGGAAGAGTTCCTTAAGACGCACAATTAGCCGCCCTGCCTTTGATCTGGGACAGGGACTGCCAGCATCTAAGTGGAGTCAGCTGCTGCTGCTCTTGCTGTGGGCTACAGCCTATGGCCTGGAAGGGGCTGGGGAGGAGGCTCAGAGGGCAGGAGACGTGAGTGGCGGAGAAGCCAGTGGGACCTGGAGGAGTCAGAGAGGCTTGAACCTGCAACCTTTGCAGTCAGAATGGGAGGGAAGGGGTGGTCTGGTCTCCACCCCTCTGTGTGTGCTCCTGTGTCCAGTTAGAGCATGTTGTGTGCATGTGGGAATGCTTAGGCATGACACTGAATGTGTTCCATGTTTGCACAAGTATGCATAGGGGGGTGTGTGTTGGGGTGTGTGTGTGTGTGTGTGTGTGTGTGTGTGCGCGCGCGCGCGCGCGCATGCACACGTGGGAGTGTGTGCAAGTACATGTCAGTTGGATTTCTTGGAGCTCTCCCATGCTGCCCTAGCTCCTCTCTGGGCACTTGGTGGAATCTGAGATGATCTTGTGACTTGGAAGGTGGTAAGACTGGCTGAGTTCCAGCCTAAGTCAGCATTCAAATGCAGGCTCTACCTCTCCTGACGCTACCATTCACAAGCTGTAAAACTTGAGGAAAGTGAGTGACCTAGTGTCTCTTAGTTGTAAAATGGGTATCAGATCACAACAGAACCCAGGGCACTCGGGCAGTTGGAGGACCCCAGTGCTCAGATATACTGCTATAGAACAGTGTCCCCGACACAAAGGCACTTAGTGCATTGGGGCCAATTTATCATTTATCGGGTGCTATGGAGCCCTGGTGGCATAGTGATTATGTGTTAGGCTGCGATCCGAAAGGTCAGCAGTTTAAAACCACCAGCTGATATTCGGGAGAAAGATGGGGCTTTCTACTCCCATAAACAGTTATAGTCTTGGAAATTCAAGGGGGCAGTTCTACAGTATCCTATAAGTTCGCTATAAGTTGGATAGCTGTGAGTTTGGGTTTGGGTTTATTAGAAGAATCGGACCTTAGGTGGTCCTGGGATATGATTACCCATGCCTCAGTTTCCCCATCTGAGTACCACCACATCCACCCATCCCTGAAGGGGCTTTAGGAAGGGAAATGCCTATACTGTGCCGGAGTTCACAGGAAGAAACCCTCAACCCAGCTCCCATGAAGCCCTTCCTGCTCTCCAGTCCCCTGCCTACCCTGAGTGAGACATGCTGGGGCTCTCTATTCCTCCAAAGAAGAACCCCCACCCCACCCCACCCCCAGAAGATATTCTGCCCAGCACCATCCTCCACTGCAGCACCAAATATCTGGGTCCTCAGTTCAAAAATCTGTTGGGGGTGGGGGTGGGGGGGACTACCAGTGCCTTGTCATCTCAGTCCTCTGTCACAGCAGTCAGAGTGGGTGTGGGGCCCCCACAGCTTCTCTTGTCTTGCTTTCCATTCTCTCTAGGCCTCTAGTGATCTGTGTCAGGCTCCACCACTCCCAGATCTCCTCTCCTGGTTTTTTTTTTTTCCTTTTCTTTCCCTCTCCTGGTCTTATGTGCCCTACCTTGCCAGGTTTGCCCCGCCAAGGGGTCAAGTGCACTTTCTTTCTCCCTCCTACATCAGAACCTATCTCTCCAGACCAACCCATCTCAGGGAAGGGTCAGGACAATTAGATGACAGTAATAGTAAGAAGAGGGCTTGAAGCACTAACTGCTGATGAGAAAGGCTATGACTTCAGTATGGCTTATACCTTCGCATAAAGTAAACCAAAAAAAGCCTCCAGCTGGGCCAATAGACAACCTCAGGGTAAACAAATACGGGGCATGGTCAAGGATTTCATGTTACTTGTATCCATAATCAATGCCTGCAGAAGCAGCAGTCAAGAAACCCAGTGATGCATTGGGTTGGGCAGATCTGCTGCCAATTTGGAAATGTTCAGTTTTTCAATGTTCCAAAACAAAGAAGTCACTTGCAGGACTCAGGTGAGCCTGCCCCACGTCATGGTATTTTCAATGGTCTCATAGGCCCAAGCAAGCTGGACCATGAACCAAGAAGATCAAAGATGGATACATGGATACATTTGAATCACTGTGTTGTCAAAGACTATTGACTATAGCATGGGTTTCCAGGAGAAGGTGCAGATATGTCTGGTGCAGCAAGAACGTTCCTTCGAAGCGAGGTACAACTTAGTCTCATGTACTTTGGACACGAGGAAGGGCCAGGGCCTGGAGAAGGGCACCATGCTTGGTAAAGTAGAGGGTCAGTGAAAGAAAGACCCTTACAAAACTGACGTGTAACTGCAATAATGGGCTCCAATATAGGGACGATTATGAAGCTGGGGAGGATTGGGCAGTGTTTCATTCTGCTGCGTGTACATCCGTCGCTGTGAGTCAGAACTGACTTACAGGCACCTAACAACAAGAGTAGTGTTGAGCCAAGGGCTGGGGAGATGTACACTTTGAAGTACTCAACTACTGGCACACACCATTGCGCCTCGGAAGCCAGACCTGGGAATTTGCTCCGGAACACAGTCTTGGACCCTACGGAGCAGTTCTACCCTGCTCGCCGTGGGTGGCCAGGAGGTGGGACCAAGGAACAACAATAGCATTCAGGAATCAATAGCATTCAGATTCGCTCCTGAGGGAGCCACCTCTTCCCGGCAGCATCTGAATTTTAAAGAGGAGAAAATCCGTGTTTGACTGCAAGCCAAGTGGCTGCGTGGGTCAAAGGAAGGACCAGCATTGATGGGGGAGGGAAGGGGAATTGAGGCCACCTGATCCCACACTGTTCAGAAAGGACTCAGATTAGAAACTAGCAGGATTCAAAAGCAGAGAGGTGATGGGCCCTGATGGACCCGGAAATGGCCCGGGAAGAGGGTGTACTGGGATATAGAGGAAAGGAGGAGGGCGGGGCACAGGGGGGGGGCGAGACTGAGAAGGGCAGCAATGGTCCCTTTCCAGAAGCCCAGTGTGAGGTAGAAATGCAATGTCGCAACGGGGGAGCAGAAGCCACACAGCGAGGGCGGTGTTCCAAGACCCAGGAGCCATTGTCCTGCCCCCTCCCCACGCTGGGCGCCACCCCGCTTGGCCAGCCCCGGCAAGTCTCCCCCCTCCATTCCTAACCTCTCCTCCACCAGTCCCCCTAGCTCATTAAACTGCAGGTGAACCCGGGAGTACCTGGAGCTGCGCCAACCCCACGCGGTCCCGCGGCGGCTCTGAGCTCTCCCCCAAGCCCAACTCAACCCCATCCTCTACAAGGCCTCTGGGGCGGGCGAAAGTGATCCACCAGGACGCCTGGGTCCACTCATCCAGAGGGGACTGAGGGACAGAAGGAAAGACGGGACT